GAGGGCAACGCCGGCAGGACCGCAGCAGGCACAGCCCCGCTCTTCTGCAGAGAGAGAGGGCCGACCCTGCCGCCCTGCTCGTGCCTCTGGGCAGCCAGCGAGGAGGAGGAGGGTGGGCCGGGGAGGAAGGGCTGGGGTCTCCTGGCATTCGCTATCTGCAATAACCCACCCGAGGCTTTTCCTTCCTGTGCCACAAAAGCCTCCAGCAAACGCTCTGGCAACCCCCCCACCCTTTACTGCAGACACAGACTCCCAAGGAAACGTGAAGGAAAAGGGGAGTTTGCTACAAGTCAGCGCGGCCGCAGCTCCCCTCGCTGCCTAAAAGCAAAGCAGAAAAGGAAAGGAAAGGCGTCGCAGGGCCAACTGCACCGGGTGAGCGAGGGAAAGGTGCCCGGAGCAGCCCGCAGGGTGTGAGCTGTGACACCCCGGCCATCCCCCCGCTCCTTGCCGCAGGACCCAGCAGAGCGGCAGAGGTTTGTTTGCCGATGAGTCAGGTGGAAGCCCTTGAGAGTGCAGGTTTGAAACACAGCGAAGAGGAGAGACAACGCTTCATCCCAGGGCATATCTAAAAACTAGAAGTTTTGACCAGCCTAAATCAGGTGGAAAACCAAGCTGCCTGGAGCCCCTAGGGAGGTTTAGAAAGCTGTGCTTCACACCCAGCAGAGCGGCAGAGGTTTGTTTGCCGATGAGTCAGGTGGAAGCCCTTGAGAGTGCAGGTTTGAAACACAGCGAAGAGGAGAGACAACGCTTCATCCCAGGGCATATCTAAAAACTAGAAGTTTTGACCAGCCTAAATCAGGTGGAAAACCAAGCTGCCTGGAGCCCCTAGGGAGGTTTAGAAAGCTGTGCTTCACTTCACCTGAAGTAAAACGAGCAGAGAGATGCAATAAAGGCGAGTTAGGGGAGCTGGAGCCAGGCTGCCAGCTCCAGTTTATGGGAGCACAGATGTGCGCAGGCTGCCGGAGACATCAGCTTTTCCAATGTACAGCTGGCACAGGGTTCAAGAAGGGGAGAGAGCGCACGGTGCAAGCGAGCCGTGCCCTCTGCTGCGAAGCCCTTGCCATGACAAGGCTGCCGGGGGAGCCGGGAGGGGGTCGCGGCTCCTCATCTGCCTTTGACATCCCCAGACTCAGCATTTCTGTTGAGTTGGGTCAGTCTGTCCAAGGAAGAGTTGTCCCTGGAAGCACTTTTTTGCCCTTTCTCCCAGCTCACAAACTTGTGCAGAGTTTTTCTTTTAGGCTTTCCCAGCTGGTTCTCCCTGTGGGTGCAGAGGGACCACCAGCTGCCTCCGCCGGGGGACAGCACAGACTTGCACAGCTACAAGTGTGCCAGACCAAGGAGGGAGTATATTTCACTCTGTCTGCAACCTTAGTGATGACAGGAGCAGCCAGCACCAAGTATAAAAAAGCAGCAAATCAGTGACAGCACGTCCTTTAGGAAAAGCCTTTTCTCATAAATCAGTGGCTTTCTGCAGGAACCGTGCTCCCGAGATAAAATAACAGCAGGACAGTCCCAGGGTGGATGGAAACAGGAGGAGAGGGAAAAGAGGGCGAAAGAGTAGAAAGCAAAGAGGACAAAACAGCAAAAGAAACGAAGTCAGGCGCTAACGCTGCGCAGTTTTCTCCTGCAGCCGGCGCGGGGCTGAGCTCCCACGCAGCCCCCGGCACGTCCCAGCACCTGGGGTGGGCAATCGAACCATCGGGGACCCCAGAGCGGCCCCGGGAGGGCTGAGCTCACACACCCGGGAACAGTGAAAGCCTCCCGAGCCACCATCCGCACAGCCCGACCCCTGCGTTGCTGCAGCCCTGAATTTTCCCCGGGGCCAAGCCAGCCCTCGCCTGCACCAGGGAAGCCCAGGCACAGCCACAGCTGCCTGTCGGGTGGGTTTTCCACATTCAGGACCTTTTCCTGCGTCCCTCCCAGCCCCCTCAGACCCAGCTCGGAGCAGTTTCTGGCTGTTGCTCGCAGCCTGCGAGCCTGCTGTCGGCGTCCCTGCGGCCGCTGAGCTAAGCCATCCATGCAAACGTAGGGCTACAGGAGGGGAGAGGACATACCTTCCTGCGGAGCATTCGTGTCCCACACAGACCACATCTGCACAAAGAAAAAGGGAGTCCAGCACACTATGAAAGCTACCACTATGATGAAGGTCATTTTGACTGTCCGGATCTTGGCTTTGGAGATGAGCCTGGTGCTGCTGACCCTGGCAAACGCCGTCCCGCTGCAGGAGCTGGAGCTCAGACCCATGTTGGGCCCGTGAGCCGTCTTAAGCTTCACATTCTGCCAGATTTTGAAGCTGATTAAGCCGTAGCAGATGCTCAGCATCAGGACGGGGATGATGTAGACCATGAGGGTTATCCAGGTGACATAGGCTTTAGGTCCCCAGGGCTGGATGAAATCTGCCCAACAGTCGTAAACCCCATTCCCCACATCCCTCAGAGAAAATATGTGGATCTGAGGGATGCTGACCAGCAGGCACAGCAGCCAGGTGAGGAGGACAGACACTCGGTCCGCTCTCCTGTGCAGAGACCTCAGAGGCTGACAGATGGCCAAGCACCGGTCCAGGGACATCAGCAAGAGCATGTAGGTGGACGCAAACATCCCCACTACCTGCAAGTACTTGATCAACCGGCAAAGGAAATCTGGCCCGTAAAACCTGAAGGTGATGTCCCAGATGAGCTGGGGCAGCACCTGGAAGATGGCCACCACCAGGTCAGCGATGCTCAAGTGCTTCATGAAGAAGTACATGCGGGAGTGCTTCTGCCGGGTGGTGTGGATGGCCAGCAGCACGCACAGGTTGCCGGTCAGGGCGAGGAACAAGATGAGGCAGAGCACCGTCACCTCCACCTTGGCCATGTCCTCGTTCCTCTTGAGGGGGTCGGTGGTGCTGTTCCTCCCGGAGCTCTGGTTCTCCAGGCGGAGGCTGCCGTTCCCCAGAGAGCTGTTGACCGTCCATACGCCGCTCCCCGCGACATACAACTTCTCCATGGCCAGCTCCGTCCCGCATAGAGCCTGGTGGCAGAGGGTGAGGGGTGGCGGGTCCCCTACCGACGCGTCCCCGTCCGAAGCAGCCGTCTCCCCGCTCCCCTCGCCCGGCGCTC